GACTCCGAGCAGGGTGCAGAGAAACTGGTTGGCCACCGGGTGGCTCCTGAGCCTTGGACCAGTGGGGAGGAGACGAGGGAGAGTGATCCAGAAGCCAGCAGTGAGTTGTTCCTGGATGCACGCCATCGAAGAACTACTAGGCACAAATACGCAATTACAGGAGGTGATTGCACTCAGCTGGTGGTCATTAGGCTCCTCTTCAGACTATAAAAAGGCTACTTGGGCACACGGCCCTCTTCGTAGAAGTCAACACAGGATTGAATATCGGAGGACAGTTCTGTGAGCTTGGCAGGCTGGATTGCTGCCGAGCCTTATCTGTGTTTATTGCTGCCTGACTTTGTCCCAAGGTCCTTATCTGTTTGTTATGCTTGGCTTTCAGCCACCGGGGTTTTGGTGTTTTGCTAATTAAAGTACATTCCAGTTAAGCTTGTCTCGGCATTCGTTACTGGACGGAGGAGGGGGTCAGAACAGCTATCTAATGTCTTTATACTTTCTGATCACTCCCTGGGAATCAAAGTGTAGAAGATACCTTCTTCATTTGGGATTCTGGACATGTGAGATCTTCATTTCACTGTTCAGTAACCATTGCCAGTTTTAGAGTAAAGGCATTGCCTATTCATGATCTATACATTGTAGTTTACTATTGGGTCAGAAACAGACTTTTTCTTCCATTATTTTCCTGTTGTACATTTCCCAGTTTGTTTTACAAACCATCAGAGAATATGACAGGACTATAAATCTTTATATGGACCAATATCTATATACTGAAAAGGACTTTCCAACAATTCTATTCCAAAATTGTATCCATAAATTATAAATCTATAAATTCCTACCTGGTTGTATATATCTTTGTTCTTTGAGCCATAATCAAAATATGCAAATTGACCTGAGTGAGATGTCTGGAAAACAAAAGCAAACATTTCATTTCATTTCATTTATTGAATTTCTATGCCGCCCAATCCCGGAGGACTCCGGGTGGCTTACAAAAATGAAAAAGATTAAAAAGAATTATTAAAACAATAAGATACAAACAAAGATTAAAAAGGAACACAACAATCACTCAGTCAGAAGGGGCTGGACCTCGATTAAGGGGTCAACAGCCCCAGGCCTGTTGGAAAAGCCAGGTTTTAATGGCTTTGCGAAAGGCCATGAGAGTGGGCAGGGCCCGGATCTCTGGGGGCAGCTCATTCCATAGAGCTGGAGCGGCAACAGAGAAGGCCCTGCTCTTAGGCGTCGCCAGCCAGCATTGTCCCGCTGAAGGCACCCGGAGAAGGATATGTATACAGATCCTTCAACAAAACACAAACTTGTGCTTCCAAAACAATAATGCAGCCATAACTCTCACACCAAGGACAATTGATGAAATGAAGATGCTTACACGTTCTTCAACAACAGATTTGCTGTATATTATCTATGTAGCAATCTTTGACCTATCTCACCATATACCCTCAGGTTCCCCAAGACAAATTTTCATTGCCTCCCAATCTTTAGAACTCTTCCTTACGCTGTAATCAAAGCACTTCCTTTTCGGGTCAGAATTAAGATTAGGTCTTTTTACATTGGGAGAATGTTTTATTAGATTTAAATTGCAATGAGTGACAGGTTGTGGAAACCAGGAATGCCAGCCCCAAGATGCTGTCGAGCCTCAACTGGACAACTGTGTTTAAATTCCTTTTTTATCCCCGCCCTGAAAACTGCTTTCTGCTTTTTATCTGTAGGGGCTTTTTTTAAGTAAGAGTTTTGGGTGACCAAGGACTGTAGGAAGCATTAATAGTGATACAATGGGGATCGATCACTTTGGAAGTATATTATATTTTGGGATTCAGTAGGTGGTTGTGGCAAAATTGCGGAAATAATCCCTGTCAACAACCTAATATTTTTATTTTAATCTGTTTCTGTTTGCATGTGGGAAAGTGTAAATGCCTATAAGGCGGGACTACAACTCATAATGTACTGGTTTCTAGGCCACCAGCTCACACCAAACTGGCAAATGGTGATCCTCAAAATTCTGGGATCTTACAAAAATTTCCACTAGAGCAATGTTTCTCAAACTTGGCAGCTTTAAGCTGCGTGGACTTCAATTCCCAGAATTCTCCCAACCTCCCAATACTGGCTGGGAGAATTCCGGGAGTTGAAGTCCACCCAGCTTAAACTGTCAAGATTGAGAAGTTGAGTTGAGTTGAGTTTATTGGTCTTGTATGCCGCCCACTCCCGAAGGACTCCGGGCGGCTTACAATAAACAAGGGAAGGGGATAAATAAATAAACAAACACAACACTTTAAAATACACAACATTCACAGATTACCATGGGGCTGGATATTTCACAAGCCCCCCCGGCCTGCTGGAGCAGCCAGGACTTGGTGGCTTTGCGGAAGGCCGGGAGGGATCTCTTGAGACTTTGGAAAATACTCACTGAACTGAATGTCAGAGAACTGAAAGTCATGATAATACTCACATGCAC